TTGTATGTTTTTGTGATATTAAAATTAGTTCACCAAGGTTGTATTATATCAGATTACTAATATTGATTGACAATCCCAGTAAACAATGTAGAAACACTGAAGCAGTTGTTTATTATGAAAACTGAAACACTGACTTCATTCTCATCAGAAACATTTGATCAGGTAGTTGAAGGTGAGTTTCTATCTGAAGAATCCTTGAAGCCTGTACAAGTGCCACTTTTTCTGCAGTATGGTGTAGTACCTGTGTAAAAAGTATCAAAGTTTTTACAGTTCTGTTGTTACTTGAAGTGAGGGGTACAAATCCCTAATGTACAGACCTTATAAGAACACTGGTATTGTCTCCAGGTGGCTTTTCTACAGCTAATATGCAGCTTACAGGAATGTCCTTGTAGAGAATCTTTTTTAAAAGAAATTTCCTATGAATTGTGAAGAAATGTAAACTATTGTCACAATTTACAATTCAGTTGAAAACGAGATTGATATTTGATTCATCTTTGTTTTTATTGAACCCATGCATTGCTCCTTGACAGCTGTTTTGACATAAGTAACAATATCAGGTGATGTAGAAGTGAGTTTTGTTTGAATGAAAAGTTTGTCACTTAAGACAGGTATGTTGAAATTAGGTCTCATGACAACCTTGCTGGTTCATTACCTATAGGAAGTGTTCAAAAAATAGTCACCTGCTTTCCATTGACACCAAAGATTTTGGCTGGAAACTAATTTTCCATTTAGCTTTCATGTACTCATAGTTGAATTTTGACATTCAGGCAGTCTCACTGAGCTACTTGTGGTCCTAAGGAAATGGCAAACAGAAGTGAAGTCATAACAATCTCTTTTTTATATTTGGATTATTTCCATATTATCATATGCCTAATTGTGCTTAGGATAACCAGTACAACAGGAAGAAATATATTTTGCATGTGCCAGTTGTTGGTGAGAGCTAGAACAAGATGTCTGAATATATCAATCCACATTTTTCTGTCTACCAGATTTTATATGATCTGTGTCTGTGGGACATCTTCTGATAATTTGTACATATACCTCAGGTAAGAATGAAGTCAGCTATGGCTCACTGGCATTGTTCATACCACTAGTTAACGTGTCTGGACATGCCCAACTATGGAAGTGTATTCGGATGGAAATTGTAACTTGGGAGATTTTCCTATATGTAAACTTTGTCATCTTGGCCAGGTATATCTGTGAGGTTTCTGATTTTCCATTATACCATGAAAGATATGCTCTCTTTATGAAAGCTCATTGGAAGGTGAAAATTATATTTTCTTTCTGGTATGGCACCATGTTGATGTAGGCTATACTGCCATGGGTTCAGAAATCCTCTCCATATGCAAGGCAAAGTGACAACCTCTAAATTCTTACTGTGGAGGTTCACAAGTCAGTGGTAACTGCGTCATTTGATTAGTTAAGTGACACAAAAAATAGGCCATTATAAGAAATTTATTACAGTGTAGGGTGGCACAGAATTAATCTCAATCGGCCACAGGTTGCAGTATTATGATGCTGGACCTGCAGTGCAGTAAAATATTGTAATGTTTATTGTTACTTGGAATAGTTATTGTCTCACTGTCAGTAGCCACTTAAAGTGTTGATATCAGTTCTTGTCCACTACTCTTTCACTGCAAGCCAGTGTACTGCCCTTTTCTTCTCTCTTACACTAAAATAACTTGCAATTCACCACATGTACTGTTCCACATCTCCTATGACACACATCTGCACTAGTCATATACTCCGAACTAGAACTGAACTCACATTCTTCTTTTCTGACCTTGCAACCACATTTTTATGTCTGCATTGTTCTGGAAGACTCTCATGGGTTTTTGGTCATCTTTGGCCCATAGTGTGAGCTGGACCACTCTCAAAGAATCTAGAAGGTGATGGGGGATGTTCCTGACTTGTTGAGAAAGAGAGGTGCCTTCAGATGCTTCCCAGCACACACGGATCACATGACATTTTACTTTTATTTTGTGCCACCCTGTAGCAGTAATGACACTAGTGTATGCCCTCTTCTGCTGTATATAGACTTCTGTTATGCTTTCTGTTTGTAAACACGGACACTAGCCAACTCATTTTAAGCGTGAAAAGACCAGATTCCACACATGCCCTGCCCATATGATTACTGTATCTGTATGCCTTGTTCTTGTTCAAGGTCTTGTTCATTTCTGAGACACTGGTGCCTGAATGAATAAGAAGGAAGATAAAAATAAAATGAAAGCTTTCTCATGCATTTGCATTTGGTGGGGGACAAACAGCAGTGATGGCATGGAAGTAGACCACCATCAGATGTTTTGAATACAGACACTGGCCTGCAGATATTATTTTGTTAGCAGAAATGTAAAACTTGGAAAGGATGGGTATAAGATAGCAAAGGTGATTATAGCTACGTGTACATTAGTAAAATGTTTCACAAGGAAGGCAGAAGAAAGAAGACATGAACTGTAACTATACAAGGACAGTTTTCTCTCTAGGCTCTTTCACTGTGGAACTTGGTATACCACAAGACACACTTTTCTCACTGTCATGCATTCACCAGCATCTCTGATTTCCCTTTAATATCATGCAGCATAAATGCATGTGAAGTTTGATGGTGGGCTAATGACAGATATAACACTCTGTGACTGGGAGAAATGCCAAACCCACACAATCGGAGCTCTTCATAATCCCACTAGTAGACATAGCAGAGTGCCTCAAAGATATACTCACCCGAGAAATGAACTCCATCGTACTGAGGCAGGCAGATGCCAGAAAGGTCTAACATTTGTAACCAGAGACAGTAGCCACATTTCATTGCTCAATTCTCATTTAATATTCAATTTTGAATTGTAAACCTTAGTAGGTTATCAATTTTCTGGTGTTAACCAAATTCTGGCAAAATGATTCAAACAGGAGGTGGAACAATATGGTCTGAGATCCATAAGCTCATTAATTCTATTTGGAATAAGGAAGAATTGCCTGATCAGTGGAAGGAGTCTTATTATTATACCAGTTCACAGAATGGGTGATAAAACTGGCTGTAGTAATTATCTTGGGATATCACTGCTATCAATTTCATACAAAATTTTATCCAATATTCCTCCCTCAAGGACAAGTCCAAATATGGATAAATCTATTGTGGATCATCAGTGTGGGTTTCGATGTAACATAACTACTGAACAGATGAAGAAGCTAAATAGTTCCGTTCAGTGTGACTTGTGAAGATTTTCTTATTTCAATTATTCACGCCCTTAACAAATCTTAACAAATCACACTGAACAGAAATATTTAGCTTTTTCATAATATTAGTGTGACGGACCAGAATGAAACAAATCAAATTCACTGATGGATGTTTTGCATTAATCAGATATTGGAGAAGAAAATGGGAATACATAAGACAGTATATCATCTATTTGTAGACTTCAAAAAAGCCTTCATTGTGTGTTCTATATATATATAGGAATTATATCAACTGTCAACACAACAAATATACTGTACATATTCCTGTGTATAACTGCCTGATGATGGTCTTGTACAACTGAAACATGTAGCAGCAATAAAGATTGAATATTAAAACTGAGTATATTTTTTGTGTTGACAGTTGACATAATTCCTATATATATATATTCAAGAAAGCCTATGATTCAGTCTGGAGGGAAATATTGTTTAATATCCTCACAGAGTTTGGGGTACCCATGAAACTAGTTAGGATGATTAAAATGTGTTTAAAGGAAACATGTAGTAAAGTCTGTACACTCGTAGGTAAACATTTGTCTGATAATTTTCACATCCAGAATGGTCTAAAACATGATGCTTCATCGCCACTCCTTTTCAGCTTTGCTTTAGAATATGCCATTATGAAGGTCGAGGAAAACATGGTGGGACTGAAATTAAATTGGACACACCAGCTGCTGGTCTATGCTGATGATGTGAATCTACTAGGTGATAACATAAATACCATAAAGAAAACACACACAAACATTAATTTATGCTAGTAAGGAGGTTAGTCTAGAAGTAAATGCAGAGAAAACTTTATGTTGCTCTCTTGTCACCAGAATGCATGGTAAAATCATGACATAAAGATAGCCAACAAATGTTTTGAAAATGTGGCACAGTTCAGATATTTGGGGCCAATGAATATTTTCCTGTAACTTGTAGATGGACAGCATGTAGTGACATATTTGATATAAAGAGAGACTTAAGCACAGGTCTGATATGTGTTACTTTTAGCAAGAGAATCGTAGAGAAATGTTAAATGGATGAAAACGAGGTTAGTAATTTTTTATGTGGCAGCTACTATTCTTCTTCTCGTTCATGTCTCTGTGCACGATATAAGCTGATATGTTCTGTTACTCGTTCGCCACTCCTCATTGCTTTTATCGTCCGGAATATTTCTGCCATTAGTTTTTATATGCTTTTCTGCAGCTAGTTCACAATTTTTTTCGCTTTATTCATTTGCCGTTACAAATATATCGTTTTTACTGTACTTCTGTATTACTCATTTGTTCATTTGTGCACAGTTAGTACTCTACAGCTCTAAAAAGATCGTCCTGTAGAACCGATGGATGGAAGGCTGTAAGTTAACTATATATATATTTTTTTTGTAAAGCTTGTTACACTTGATGGTTATCTTATATAATTACACGTCTAGATTCTGCTAATCCCGGGATTGCCTAAGTAGTGATTAGTGATTGGGTATCAGTTCTGCAGCCGTCGAAATTAATGTCTTGCGGTCACATCAGTAAGATTTCCAATGTGAATAGCCCCATGATCCACATGGCACAGTTTCTTCTTGAAAATTAATTGGCCGTACATTTTCTGTTGCAAATATGGTACGATGAATAAGTCGTGAATATAAATAACACCTCATATGTGTCACCAACAAGGGGTGGGGAAAGAAAAATTAATATTCTTGTCAAAGATTGTTTCTCAATTTTACCGTATAATTACGAATGTATGCGATATATATATATATATATATATTCGCCTAGTGGGGGGGGGGTGGAGTCCGGTTGGGTCCACTCGTCACGGCGGCCACTGATTGGCCTATAGAAGTTGCTTTGGTTTGCGTAGTAATGCTGTAAAGTCTCACAGTCGACATTCGGTTTGATATGCAGTCAAGTATTCTCAACAGACAGGATAAGGTTGCATGATATTTCAGTTTCCTCAAGATGATGTAAGTGCCGAAGAATAATGGCTTCCCTGAAATGTTATGGTTATATATCAGAATTGAAGAGCAACATGAAGTGAGGTTATAGTGTACTGCCTATCTACCAACATGGTAAATAAATGGATGGATGAAGCCTTAGATCTGGCAACTGAAGCTCTGAAGGCAGGGGAAGTTCCTGTAGGATGTGTTTTTATATACAATGGCGATGTTATTGCTAAAGGCCGTAATACAGTGAATGAAACTCGCAATGCTACAAGACATGCAGAGCTGAATTGCATGGACCAGACAGCGGAATGGTGTATGGAAAATGTCCATGACTTTGCTACAGTCATGTCTGCCGTGCAGGTAATATTTTGCACATACAAGACTATATAGGGTGTCAGTACATCTTTATAATCATGAGAGATGTTGGTCATAGGATCACTTTTTCGGAAGTGAAAATACTGGTAGAGATACATGCATGCCCTACAGGGCATCCATTTTCCCCCTTCAACCCATTCTTGCTCAGCTGTCAGCATTCATAAGCCCCATGCTCCATTCTCAACTGATTACCCAAGTGAATGACCATTATTTTTTTCAATGGCTCTTCCAGCCCATTCAGGGTCCTGGCCTCTTATTCAGTTCCATAATAATTTTTCACAGATGGTAGGACTCCTTGGACAAGTTACCAGCTTGTCGCAAGGCCTCTATCTAAACAGAGGACAACACAAACACAGAATAAACACACATACACACCAAACATCCATGCCTTAAATAAGATCAAAACCCACAATCCAAGCATCCAAAAGAGCAAAGACAGTTCCTGCCTTAGACCACGTGGCTACTGTGATCGGCTGAACGACCGTCATTAGTTGGAGTAAATAAGTAATCAAAAGGGAAATGCAATAAGGAAGTGATATTTTGACACAAAATTATTGTATTGTCTGTGTGCATGTACTCTAGATGACAATAATTAGTGTAAAGTTTTCCTCTTCCCATAAATGATAAAGGAGATGACCATGGTTTGTAACTTGTGTGCCTTTAAGCCAGATGTGGTTTGCTTACATTCTTATAATTAATGTAAACTATAATGTGACATAATATTGTATTTTAGTATCCTGTTGCACTGTGTGTAAACTTGAATACCATTCTGATTCTTATCTGGCCTTGTGTAACACGGTCAAAATTTTCTGGGTTTCAATGCTTCTTCTTTCTGCTTTATTGCACAGCATGTTTCCGCCTAACTGGCCATTGTGAGGTGTACAAGGTGTGTTTAAGGAGTCTGCTCTGCTTTTCTTTTGATATATTAGATGCTTCTAGATGGACAGATAAGAATCATAACAGTATTCAGGTTTATAATGTAACAGTTTGTAACACTGCGGTTGTAGGTTACCCATGAGTGGAATGCTGCAGTGCAAAATTCCTAAGGCTGTGTCTACAGTGGACTGGAATTCATGTGACTAACTGATCATGTGAGGTTGCACCATAGCTCAAGCGGTTAGTCGCTGGCTTCCCACCATGGCAGCCCGGGTTCAAACCTGGGTCTGGTCAAGTGGGATTTGTGGTGGACAAAGTGGCACTGGGGTAGGTTTTCTCTGAGTATTTAGGTTTCCCCTGCCAATCTTCATTCTACCAATTGCTCCACAATGACCCTCCCCTATCATCTGGGGCTGGTACAATAGGCCAGAAGTAGCTGCAGTACAAGGGACTTAGTCCCACCCCACTAGCAATAAAAAAATCATAATCACCCGGGGCAGGTACAATAGACCAATCAGTGGCCGCCATGCCGATTGGACCTAACTGGACTCCACGCCCCACTATGCCAATAAAAAAAATGATCACACATGTCTGTTTATATTTTCCATGCCAATTTCAGTTTCTATTTTCAATACTTTCATTTTGCAGTTAAAATATTAGAGGAGCATTCCATTATTCTTCAACCTCTAGAAAGCTGATGGTTGGAAATTTCTTCTTATATGCTTAAATTCCTCCTTGAATGTGATTTCATGAAGTAACTGTTTAGGGGGTATGCTTTATCTCCTAAAAGAATATGTGTATGAGGTGGTTTAATGTCTATTTGTGGTCGAGCATTCCCTGCTGGTTTTGGCCTCAAGGTGTTCTGACAAAGGAGATGCTGAAACTGTGCCGCTGTCCCTCTGTTTCTGAAAGCCACCAGCTTCAATGCAGATCATTCTCTAATCAGAGTCCTGCAGAACCTTGCAGAACAATAGAAAAGTAATGATTATATTTGTATAACTGCTTTTCAGTTTGTTTTGAGCATTTAATTGTAAAGTGTTTGCTGTATGCAGTCATATTTGAAGAAGTCATTTGTGCATTTTCTGCGTTGGAAAAGGAAGGTGTACATCATGCAGTTCCCCCGTTATAGCTTCACTGGTCTCATATACTACCCCTGTTAACAGTGACATGGACTCATCAAAATGAAAATGACGAAAAGTTGAAGGATCCTGAAGTTTAAATGTAGTATTTAACATGAAGTGTAGTCAGAGAAATTAAAATTCAAAATAAACCATGTTAGTACATATTTGTTTATGGATGAGATGCCAAATTCAAATGGAGGGACTTAAGCCAAATTTTTCATAAAAAAATTGCTGAAGATGTCAGATAGGTATTGAGATGCTAGTATAAAAAACAGTTGTATTGGGTACACTTTCAGTCCATGCTCTTTGTGGAGGATGAATTTAACTAAGGGAAGTCCAAAATACAAAATAGCAGAACTGAGAAAACAGTTTCAGAAAAAGACAATGTACATGGACTGGAATTATGATTTGATCTGACCTGAATGAAAGTAGTGAAGATGTAAACATAGAGTATTAGATATACTTCAGAAAGGAAAGAGATATACCAAGGAAACAGGAGAAAAATATGATTTCAAAGATGATAAATCTCTTGAAACCCAAAATCTGGAGCAGTACAAAACAACCTTGAAAGATTACAAGATACCAGCTTTTTAAAACGTTTCTTACTGTAAATAAGAAATGTCACTCGATTATGTCTTGAGAGCCAATGATTTCTGGTTGTTTATTCTGTCATGGGCAAGCCAGCAGGAACTGACTTAGTGGCTTTCATTTTCTTCCTCAACGTCTCACAACCCTATGGGCCTTCACGGCCTGTTACAAGGATAGCTTTACTTCTTTTCCCTCTATAATGCGAAGAATTGACAAGCCAGTTGCTCTGCTTTCCACCTGCTTTCACACTGGCTTGTTACTTGGCACATTCTTTGACCCTGAACATGGATGCGACATATTCCTGTGAAACGTTGATAGACTTAAAATACAGTACACAGTGTTATATCCCATATATCTTCATAACCATCACTATCTGACCTAATCCTTCCAACCATACTATGGCCCTGGGGTCCACTCAGCCTCCAACAAAAATGAGTATCTGGAATATTCCTTGGGGGTAAAGGACGGCCAGCACATAAGGCCAACAACCTTACCACCATCTGTGAGCTGATTTTCTAGCTAATGTGGGACCTTCAACGTCTCACAGCCCTATGGGCCTCCATGGCCTGTTACAGGGATAGCTTTACCTTTAACATCACTGTGAGGACCTCAAATCCTTAGAGACATGTACTTCAGAAAGGTAATGTTAATGTTAGAGTGGTGAAATGTAGGAAATTGCAATGTGCTGGACATAGAGGTTGGATGGATGGAAACAAGTGATACATACAGAATACTGATGGGCAGCCACTTCGAAATCTAGAAAGGAAGTATAAAGAGTTACTAATATTAGAATAGTTTGGGGGAAAGAAGTTGTTAGGTGGAATTATCTGGCTCTTAGGGATATGTCTAGCGGTGGTATTGCTACAGGATTAGTTACAGACAAATGAGCCATATTAATTTAGAATATTATGTTCATGGTGTGATTCTAGTGTAATGACATTGCAGGTGTGGGTGACAGTTGAGCCTTGCATCATGTGTGCTTCAGCCCTGCATAGCTTACATGTGGCAGGTGTCATGTATGGTTGTAAGAATGACCGTTTTGGTGGCCATATATCAGTTCTGAACACTGCTCTTCTCTTTCCTGATCCCTCCCCTATGGTAGGAGGACTAGAAAGTGATCGAGCCATGCAGCTTCTCAAAGACTTTTACAAAGGAACTAACGCCAATGCTCCCCATCCTAAAGTAAAGAAAATTACCACATGACTGTACCTGTAACTAGTCTTTAAGAATCAAGCTGCAAGAATGTGTGCTTTGAGTCCTGACAAGAGACTGGTTAACTGTGAGGTTGCTTTCAAGAAGATGCCTTTGCTGTTAATTATAGCACAATTATTTTGTCTGTAATTTATCATTTATTATCTTTTGTAATTGATTACAGCATCATATAATAATAAACAAAAGACAGGATATGTATTACTTGGTTATCATTTTGTGTGGTGTTTGTTTATTTTTAATGCTCAGAATTTGAAGAATGAAATGAAAGCCAATTTATCGTCATGTGAAACCTGATGTTCTCACAGAAGAGAATATGAAGAGTACAATCTTCTGGGACATATGCCATGTAGCTTAGGAGGTAGGTACCAGCATTTCTGACCTGAAGACAGAGGCAATATGTTTCTCTGAAATATTGATACCTCTCTATCAAACTACTTGGCATCACATGTCAGAAGATATTTATCTTATTATTTTTCTTTGTATGGGGGAAGGGCAGGATAGCTCAGTTGGTACAGTTGTAGGATGGAGACCAGATGACTGAGCAGTTAGGGTTTGATTGTCAGGCCACACCATAGCTCAAGCGGTTAGTCGTTGGCTTCCCACCACAGCGGCCCAGGTTCGATCCCGGGTCTGGTCGAGTGGAATTTGTAGTGGACAAAGTGGTGCTGGTGCAGGTTTTCTCCGAGTACTTCGGTTTCCCATGCCAATCTTCATTCCACCAATTGCTCCATAATCACCGTCACCTATCATCTGGGGCTGGTACAATATGCCAGAAGTGGCCACAGTACAAGGGACTTAGTTCCACCCCACTAGCATTAAAAATTAAGGTTTGATTCATATTGTCCAGACTGGCTCTGGTGCCCTTCCAGCCTCCTACCCAGTGGGTGCTGGTGGTAAAGATGCCAGAGCATGAGACTTACCACTTACCACCTGGTGTCAAGGTTGAGAATGGTGGAGCAATGCATATACTCCGCCCTACATGCATTTTTTACTATGAGGGATCTTCAGAAAGTTTCTGCACTTTTATATTTTTGAAAAAAAAATGGGAAGATCTGGAGAGGTGGGGATTGGGGGCATTGTAGGGTGTCATGAGATTAGTCGACAAGGCAAGCCTGTTGACCTTGCAGTTAGTGTGAGTTGCTACAAAGTGGTGAACATGGCAGCAGAACTTGAGAATTGCACCAAGGAGGAGTAGTGATTTGTGATGCTTTTTTTTTTTTGTGGGCAGAAAGTGTACCAGGTGGACAGATTCATCAGTGCATGTGTGCTCAGTATGGAGACAATGCTGTCTTATAGAGTTCTGTATGAGTGGACTGAAATGTTTAAAAATGGCATTATGATTGTGACTGATGCAGAGCGCTCAGGTCGTCCAACCACAGCCACAACCTTACAGAATGAAAAAAGAGCTAGGGAACTTATTCTTCAAAACAGAAGAGTGACAGTCGTTGAAATTGCAAAACAATTGAATATCCGCATTTGTCTGCCTATTCTGTGGTGCATGATAACCTTCAGTTACATAAAGTGTGTGTGCCAGAGAGAGTGTCAGAGGGCGTCCTTTTGTTGCACAATAGTTCCCATTCCCATACTGTGGCCTGCACATTGGAAACCCTCAGGAAATTGAGATGGGAAGTCATGGAACATCCAGCTCACAGTCCAGATTTGGAGCCATCTGATTTTCGCGTTTTTGGACGCTTAAAGGAGCTATACTAGGGAGAAGATTTTGATGTGAGGAACACAGTGCATCAGCGGCTATATATGCAACCAAAGACTTTCTATTATGATGACATTAAGAAGTTAGTGGGACGTTGGGAAAATGCGTTGAAAAGCAGGATGATTATGTGGAAAAATGATGTATTTTGTTTTTGTAACCATCAATAAAATTGAGTTGTAAAATAAAAAGTATGGAAAATGTCTGAAGATCTCTTGTAGTTACTGCTGGATATCCAAAGGAAGCTTCTGAAAACAGTAAAAATCCTAAATGTCTGCAAAATTTAAATTGACATTTTATGTTTAGTCATTTGTTGCATTGCAGTATTTCCTATATGAATGTATAAATGTGGTACTATATTCCTTTGCCATTCTATCAGATCATTACTTTTTGTCCAGAATCCATACTGTTCTCTACACTTCCCGTATCCATCCTGAGCCCTGATGCTGCTGCCGGTACTCCTGGACCAGTAGTTAAGAAATGTTTGAACTGTGATACCTGTTGTGAGAATTGCCATGTTTTGATGTTTAGGTATGTTTTATGTATGACTTCCGTGAGATTTGAAGTCATCATAATACATGGTGTCAAGAATAATGTTATGATGTTTAAATGTTTTCCTATGCTTCCATTCCTTATATGTAGCCTGTTAATAGCAAAAAACTGCATTAGCAAGCAAAAGTAGTACAGAAATGTCATGCTGATCTTGTTGGAGAAAATAGAAACAAAACTCAACCCAACTGAATGGAAAACAGAGCCTTAATACATCAGTTTTAACTCATAGTCAAATTATATTGAAAAGCTGAAGGAAGTATATAAACATTCCTTTTCAACCTTCAAAACCTTGACAAACAGACTGTTATGAATAAACCAAAAGTAATGGCTTTGAAAGAAAATATCCAATGACATAATACTTTTTCATATTTATATATGAATAACGTTTCTCCATTCATTTACTTGGAATGTAACATTTTTATGAAGCTAACAAATGTTAGAATGAGTGAAAAGTTCTGTCTTCTGAGTTATAATGCATTCTAGTCCATTTCTTACTTGGTTTATTCTTCACCGTGTTCCTCCGAAACATCGGTAGACTTTTAATGGACTACCTAGCATTTCTAGTATATCTCAGAAGACAGGAGGACTCTTTGTAACCACTGCTGTGAGAACCTCGGTATTCAGGCTTCTATTACACTGTTCTGTCATCCAGAATCATTGTTATCAAGGAATATGTGAAATTGGTGGCATGAAGATTGGCAGGGGAAACCGAAGTACTCGGAGAAATCCTGCCCCAGAGCCACTTTGTCCACCACAGAACCCACTTGACCAGACCTGGGATTGAACCTGTGCCACCTCGGTAGGAAGCCAGCGACTAGCCGCTTGAGCTATGGCACGGCCTTTCGTAATAGTAACTTAAAAAGAATTTGCCTACCAGTTTTGCCCAATCTGTTGGTCCCTTGGCATGTAAAAGTTCGAGAATCGCAGAATGGATTTTGATTGAATTTTTGCGTTTGGAGAATTTCATTAAATTGTATTGCCACATCTTAATTCTGGGTAAAATCTCACAAGAAAAGAGAAGATTTCACACACAGACCTACATGTGTCCTTGATTTCATCTTGAGAGTAAGTCGCTAAGTATTTTTAGAAAAAGAAACTCTTCTGAATAAAAAATATAGAGAAGAAAACACGTATTTTATGCCCCGTGCACTTTTCCGCAAGACTTACGGGTTTCAAGATAGTTAAATAAATGAAAGTGAATGCAACAGAATTGCTATGCAATGCGTACATTTCATAACTTGTTCCGTGCTTTTGTCTACTGCGGTTGCAACACTTATAGTCTGGTACGTGCGTACCATCGTTGGAGAGAAATATACTGTCGCGTTGCCTTGAAAGGGTTCTGACGATGGTGTATACTGTACTTCTTTTGGCTTGTTTTGAACTTCATCGTCTGGTATGTAAAAGACAGAAGTCCACAACGTTTCGGAGACTGGATCTGTCTCCATCTTCAGGTGGGTGGGGAAGAATAAACCTACTCAGTTGGGCTCGTTATAGACTAGCTCTTTCTAACGGGCCCAACTGAGTAGGTTTATCCTTCCCCACCCACCTGAAGATGGAGACGGATCCAGTCTCTGAAACGTCGTGGTCTTTTGTCTTTTACATACCAGATGATGGATGAAGTCCAAAAGAAGTACAGTATACTGTCGCGTGTTTCCTAGCTGACGCGACAAGAAATTAGGTGGGTTCCGGATTAGGCGAAGACTTTTATTGGACAGTCACTAGGTTACACTTACTATTACAATTATTCTAAATTAACGCTCTCTCTTATGATACTACCTCATTAGTCCGTCGTCTCTCTGCGTTGGTTCTTCAGCGTTTATACTTGCATCGCTATTCTCTGTGAAGTGTCTTGGCTCTTCGTTCTTCTAAGCTGGACTGACTTCTGCTGAGTCTGATTCTGAGTCTCATTTTATGACCGACGGTCAGTCGGACAGTCTCTCTTGGCATAAAGCACCCATCTAGTGCTTGCGACCAGATCTTTATTATTGTTTGACAGTTACGGTCTTGTTTTTTTTTTTGGGGCGTCCTCTCTGAGGAGAGGACGGGTCTGTCTTTTGTATATGCTGCTGGTCCTTGCCAGCGCAGTCTTTCTCGGGCCCAAGGCTCTTGGTACTCGAGACCATATATTACTGTCTCAAATTTGAGACTACCCCTTTCTTCGCCTCCTACGACTCGCGGAGTCACAGTGGAGGTATACGAACCCTCCACCGTAACCCTGCGACTTCTGCTCTAGTTGAAGCTGGACTGTAAACACCTTGTCGAAGGGTTCAGTGTAGCTTCTGTCATGCAACCAACTCTCTCGTTGCTACAGGGATACATGTTTACTTGTGGGCGTTGTTGTAATGCAGCTGCCTGAAACAATTCGTCACCTAAGCATTGCTATCCTTTTTGTAACGGTGGAAACCGGGGCAACCCATGTGTTGTTTAAGCGATTTCCTAGGCAACTAGCTGCTTATATTTTGTTGCCTAGGAATTGCTAGCCGTTGACCAGGCCAGCGATGGACGTCTTATAGTCCGGCCTTCCTGGAGGCACGTCACAATACTGTTGCTCTCTCGGTGTAGAAGTTGTTCAATGTCTGAAAATACTTTTACCAGTGTTATCCATAAGGTAGCTCAGTTTTCAAACATCAAACATTCCTTGAACAAACAAGACATGAACTACCTTCGTCGCTCAAACACTGGGATCGTGGTTTCGAATCCCACTCAAGACATGGATGTGTTTGTGTGTGTGTGTGTGTATATATGTGCGCTTGTTCCATGTTTGTTGTTTTCGCAGTTCACAGTGAAAACAACACATGAAGCCATGAACAGACACGGACGATACCAAGAATCTCCTTCTCAAGATAGACAGGCAGCACAAGTTCAGCCCCCTCCAAGAAAGACGAGAGGAGAAGCGACACGAACCTGCATGGTTTATAAATTTTAACTTAAACAACAAAGTTTTTAAAAAAACTTCAAAGTTTTAATACCAGGAAGGCTGCTGTGATTGTGAAGAGTTGAATACTGTGTACATTGTGTATTCCAGGCATTATGTGTGTATGTAATTTAGCACTCAGAACACGTATTGTGATAGTGGTTTCCGAATAATTATTGATGTTCCCTCTGAAAATGATCCGTAAGGATCGAAACATGTATGGCTGCTGAGTTTTCAAGCGGTAAAGCTTAAATAGTCACACTGGACAGAGTTGTTTTTTCTTTGTAATTGTTAATGTGACAGGCCAGAATGAAACAAATCAAATGTCTTTCTTTTCCCACTAGGTTTTATGATCTGCCACTGATATTTGTAATTGGCTATCTCTGCCTTCTTTGATTGCTTGCTTTGCCTCCAAGTTGGCCCTCTCATTAACTTCAAATTCGCAGTGGCCCAAGATCCAGTAAAATTGTACCTTTTTCCCTCGCGATTCCAGACTGTGCATCTGTGTAATGTGGGATGCGTTGTTCATTGTAGAGAAGTTACTAATACCTTTTAACACGCTGGCAGAGTCCAAGAAAATCGTGAAGTTTTGCTCCGAGTCTATTTTTTCAATGATTTCTAGTATTTAGGCAATTGCTAGGGCTTCTTCCGTGAATGTGGACGCTATCTTAGATATCATGAATTTCATGCTACGACCATCTTTTATATCGATGCGAATCATCCTCCATTTTTTAACCGTCCGTGGCGAAACATTTGCTGGTTCTCAGTCTTTGAAAATCTTTTTGAATTCCTCGTTGTGGTCTTCTGCTTCCTTTATTTGTGTTCCTTCGTCGAAAGATACCCTGGCCTCCTTAAAGATGCTTTCGAATATGTAGTCGAAGGCAGGAGGGACAGTTCTCTGAATGAATTAAATCCCCAAGAGGGGTTACCTCTTTATAATATTCGGTGATCAGTAGTTGTTCATTTTCTCCCTCCCTGGATTTTCAACTAGAGCTGAAAATTTTTCCAGCCGCTGATAGTTCCTTCCCAACTACTTGACTCTACTACGAGTAAAAATTGGGAGTTCTTTGGTTTCTGCTAGCATTACATTAGTCGGTGTGCTACTCCTGTAGCCCAGTGCTCCGCGTACTGCTCTATATTGTCTATTCTCTAGTTTCTGTGATTGTTTCTTCCTAAGTACATAGGTTGGATAAAAAGTAGTGGCAACACCTCTATAGTTCTGAAATGACTTTATTGCCTGAGGTGAACTCACATTCCTTCAAAATAATCGCCCCCCATGTGTACCACCTTCTGCCATATTTGTGGAAGGCGTCGTACACCATCAGTGCGTACACTCCTGTTGATGTCCAGCAGTGACCGCCCTACAGCACGAATAATCTCCTCTCTTGTGTCGTAACGTAACCATCACAGTGGTTCTTTCATTTTGGCAAAGATATCATAATCGTATGGACTCATCGGTTGAATATGGCGGATGTTGCAGTAGCTCCCATCGCCAGCGGCGAAGGAGATCCTTGACAGCGTCAGTAGTATGAGCCCTTGCATTGTCATGAAGAATGATGGAGTTCGTTGCCAACAAGTGTCGTCGCTTTTTCCTGAGTGCTGGACAAAGATAATTAAGCATGAAATTTCAGTAGTAGGCAGCATTTACTGCCTGTCGTTGAGGTAGAGTGTGGTTCAGTATAACTCCATCAATGTCACATGCCACATTGAACATCGCCT